CTCCACAAGCTCAAATTACTTCTATGTCCAATGCTCTGGTGGCTCCTATTTGTGGTATATGCAATTCCACAATGCATGTCACCTCTAATTGCATGCATGTTCAAGATGTTGGGGCTGTGTATCAACAACAAAGGCCCTACAATTATCAACATAATCAAGGGGCAATGAACAATATTGAGGCTAACTATGGGAGCACCTATAACCTAACTTGGAGGTAGCACCTTAACTTTAGCTACAAGGGTAATCAAGAGATTGTGCAAGCTAAGAATTCTCAAGTGATCCCTATTCAAGATGGTAGGGGTGATAAATAAATATATTCCTACCTTGAGAGGATGGGTGATGCTATGTTTTCTATGGGCCAAAAGTTTGATTCTTATGTGTCTAGGGCAGAATCAAAAATGGACATGATGCTTAAGAGGCTAGATAACCTTGAAGTAAAACAACAAATCACTGATTTAGTAGTGCAACAATTTTGAAATTCAAATAGCATTGGCTAAGCTCAAGGAAGTGGAAAGCTCCTAACTCAACCTATTATTAATCCAAAGAGCCTTAGTGCAATTGACTTGAGGAGTGGAAGAGTTCTTGAAGCCATTCCAAGTACCTCAAACTATGATGGCAACAAGCCTAATGAGGTTATTTCAAGGAATTCTTAAATTTATGAAGGAAGCCCACTTTCTCTTAATGATCCACGTAATTCCACTTGCTGTGATAGTAAGCTAAATGTGCATCCAAGTACCTCACACAGCATCAAGAACATGCCTCCTACTTCTTTAAGTCCTCAAATGATTAATGATGAGGATGACTCTATTGAAGAGATTGTAGTTGAGGATGTAAATGAGGCAAGATTAGCCCTGAATACTCAAGCAAAAGAGGCAAAATTGAGCTCAAATCAAGGCCAAGATAGTACTGGAATAGCCATGATTCATCCTTTTTTTAAGGTAAATGAGAATGATTCAAGCTAGCCTAAGGAGATAGAGGTGTTGTGAAGAAGAGAGCCTCCAAAAGCATATCAAATTGGGGACCTTATTCTAAGGGATATGCCATTCCCTAAGGCCTTAACTAGATTTGCTAAGAAAGGGCAAGAAGAAGATAGGCATAATGTGTTTGATATGTTGAAGAAGGTGGAAGTGAACATACCACTTCTTGATATGATAAAAAGCATGCCTAAGCATGAAAAGTTTTTGAAGGAGTTGTGCACTAATAAAAGAAAATTCAAACCATTGGCTACAGTTCAAATGAATCCTAATATTAGTGTTGTTTTCAAGCCACAACTTCATCTAAAGTGTAGAGATTCGAGGGCATGTACCATTCCTTGTCAAATAGGGAATGTGTTCATTTAAGAAGCCTTGATTGACCTAGGGGCAGCCATCAATGTGATGCCTACTCATATTTATTCTTCCTTTAATTTTGGTGGTCTTCAAGATTGTAGTGTCATCTTGCAATTAGCTAACCGGAGCACTAGGAAGCCCAAGGGATTCTTTGAAGACATCTTAATGAAGGTAAAGAACTTGATTTTTCCAATAGATTTTTATATGTTAGATATGCAAGAAGGTGGCCAAGGCACAATCATCCTTAGGAGACCTTTTATGATGACATCAAGTACCATATTGAACATAAAGGATGGTAAACTTACCATGGAGTTTTTGGAAAGCAAGATTGAATTTAATATATTTAATAGCTTGAAAAACTCTTATGTTGATTATAGCCTTCATTTTTACGGATTGCATTGATGATACACTTGATAGAATCATTGATGAGGTTTCTATACCTCCTAGCTTGGATGATGTTCCTCTTTGCCTAGTTTCATTTGTTCATGCACTCATGACTCTATTTATGTAAATTGCAATAACATAATGTTAATTTTGTCTAATTTAAAAATCAAGATGAATTACACTCACTTGAGCATGATATTTGAATGGCAGCATACTCTACACGCCTCACTCATCTACTTGCACTCCATTTGAAGCACTTATATTGTCTAGTTCTTCACATGACCAAACATATGCTTCCTTAAGTGATATTGCTTGTATTAGATGAGTTTGATGATTTGAGTATTAATTCTAGAAATTCTATTGATTTAGTGATTGAATCAAGTGATGAGAGTGAAATTGCATCTAATAATAGCCTTAGTTCATCTTCCACATGTCATATTTCATCACATCATTTGATTTCTTCTAGTGAATTAAATTCTAGAATTTTTGACAGCTTTGATCCTTTTATGCCTAATCATTCTCCAAGGTTGGAGGAGTATTCTACTTGTGATGTTTTAGGTTTAGGGACACTTGAAAATTATGGACAAAGTGATTTTGAGGCTGTTAATGATCTAATGGGTGTATAAATTGGTGCTAGAAATTCATAATCATTGATGGCCAAATCGAGAATTAATTCTAAAGCAAGTAAATAGATTTGGATGTGAGGCACAAAGCTAGAACAAAGCAAGTTGTGCTGGATGAAATGCATACAGCAGCTATTAGAAGCTTAGATGTGCCACTTAAAGAGGAAGATATAGATCTAGCAAGACAAATTCAAGTGCAAAAGATCCCTTCAAGCATCATTGAGCCGCCCAATTTGGAGTTAAAGCCACTTCCTTCACATCTTAAGTATTCTTACTTAAGAAATGGTAATCAACTTCCTATTATTGTTTCTTCTTCATTAACCCCTATGGAAGAGTCTTTGTTGTGTGATGTAGTGAGGAAGAACATTGAGGCTATTGGGTGGATACTTAGAGACATTCCTAGAATTAGCCCTCAAACTTGCACACATAGGATCATGTTGAAGGAAAATGCCAAGGCAATAAGTCAGCCACAAGGGAGGTTGAATCGTCTCATACGTGATATGGTAAAGAAGGAGGTCATTAAACATTTGAGTGAAGGTATAATCTATCCTATTAGTGATAGTGAATAGGTGTCACCAGTACAAGTTGTGCCCAAGAAGAGTAGAATTACTGTGGTAAAGAATGAACATAATTAGTTGATTCCTACTTGGGTACAAAATAGTTGAAGGGTATGCATTAATTATAGGAGGTTAAATGAGGCAACCAAGAAAGACCATTTCCCTATTCCATTTATTGATCAAATGATAGAAAGATTAGGGGGAAATCTCATTATTGCTTTCTTAATGGATATAGTGGTTATTTTCATATTTGCATTGATCTAGTTGATCAACATAAAACTACTTTTACTTGCCCATTTGGTACCTTTGCATATAAAAGAATGCCTTTTGGATTGTGTAATGCTCCAGGGACCTTCCAAAGATGCATGTTTGGTATTTTTAGTGATTTTATTGAAAATTACATGGAAGTATTCATGGATGCACAATTCATGGGGATTCCTATTCTTCTTTCTTGAGAAATCTTTATAAAGTCCTTGCTAGATGTGTGGAGAAGAACTTGGTTTTGAATTTTGAGAAGTGTCATTTATGGTTGAGCAAGGGATTGTCTTGGGCCACTTAGTTTCAAGTCATGGCATTAAGGTAAATAGGGCCAAAATTGAAGTGATTTCATCTCTGCCCTATCCAACTAATGTCAAGGACTTGAGATCTTTCCTTGGCCATGTGGGTTTTTATAGAAGATTTATTAAAGTTTTTTCAAAGATTGCACATCCCTTGTCTCAATTACTTCAAAAAGATGTCAAATTTGAGTTCTCTCCAAGTTGTAAAGATGCATTTGATGCTTTGAAGGCTAAGCTTATTTCCCCTCCTATTTTGAGGAGTCCTAATTAGTTGATCCCATTTAAGATTTCATGTGATGCCTTTAATTTTACTATCAGGGCTATATTAGGACAAAGGGAAAATAAGTTACCTTATGTCATTGCATATGTATCTAGGACTTTAAACAAAGCACAATGCAATTACACTAGAACTAAAAAAGAATTGTATGCATTAGTGTTTGCTCTTGACAAGTTTAAATCTTACTTGTTACATACCAAGGTTGTTTGTTTTTACAAATTATACGGCCTTAAAGTATCTTTTAAAAAAGAAGGACACCAAGCCATATTTGCTTAGATGGATGCTTCTACTTCAAGAGTTCAATTTGGAGATCATTGATAGGAGTGGAGTAGCGAATCATGTGGCGGATCACTTAAGTCAATTGCCTTATGACTCCACTATGGTGAATTCCTCTCTTGATTTCCCTTGTGATGAGTTTAGGGACGAGTCATTATGTGCTATTTCTTCCTATGATGTTGTTTAGTATTCTAATTTGGTCAATTTTTTGGTGCATAATGTGTTTTCAAATGGGATTACTAGACATGCTAGGGAGAAGCTTGCTAGGGAAAGTAGATACTATGTTTGGAATTCACCTACTCTTTGGAGATTGTGTAGTAGTGGTGTCATTAAAAGATGTGTCCCTGATGTTGAGATTGATGATGTATTGAGGATATGTCATACTTATGCACATGGTGGTCATTTTGGGGTTAGGAGGACCGAGCTGAAGGTCTTGGATTGTGGTTTATATTAGCCACTCTTTTTAAAGATGCACATCAATTTTGCAAAGCATGTCATGCATGTTAACATTTTAGGAGTTTAGGAAAGAGACATGAAATTCTATAGGTGCCTATTATATTTTGTGAGATCTTTGATGTTTGGGGTATGGATTTTATGGGTCCTTTTCCCTCTTTCAATGGTTGTGAATATATATTGCTCTGTGTTGATTTTATTTCTAGGTAGGTTAAGGCTATCCCTACTAGAACTAATGATGCCAAAGTTATGGCAAAGTTTTTCTTGTCTTATGTGTTTTACAGGTTTGGCATCCCAAGAGCAATCATCATTGACCAAGGGACATACTTTTGCAATAAGACTATCTCTTCTTTACTTCAAAAATATGGTGTTCTACACAAGCTGGCAACCCCATATCATCCTCAAACAAATGAGTTGGCCGAGTATTCAAATAAGGAGATCAAGTCTATCTTCCAAAAGACTGTGAGACCGAATAGGAAGGATTGGAGCTCAAGACTTGAGGAGGCTCTTTAGGCATACCGGACCACTTTAAGACACCTATTAAGATGTCTCCATTTAGGTTGGTTTATGGTAAGCAATGTCACCTCCTAGTGGAGATTGAGCACAAAGCCTATTGGGCTATAAAGGCTTGTGCATTTGGTGAGAAGGGTGTAGCTACCTTTAGGAAGTTCCAACTTCAAGAATTGGAGGAGTTGAGATTGGAAGCATATGAGAGCTTTAAATTGTACAAGGAAAAAGCAAAATTCATTCATGATAAATGTATTTTGAGGAAACATTTTCAAGTGGGAGATAAAGTGCTAAAGTTCAAGACAAGGCTCAACCTCATTAGTGGCAAACTTCAATCCAAATGGGAGGGCCCTTACATTACAGAGGAAATTTTTTACTATGGTACTCTCACCCTCAAAGATCCTCAAAGTGGCTTAACATTCAAGGCAGATGGCCACTTGTATAAGAAGTTTCATGAGGGTGAATCTTCCATATTGCTTGCTGAAATGAGATTCAAAGATCATTCATGAGTTTTCAAAGGTTATATCTCTCCTTCTTATTTCTTTTTTATTGATTTGATTGATTCACAAAGCACACAAGTGGAGCACTAATTGGGATATGCTTGCTGTCACATATGCACACATGTAGTATACCATTCTTTACTTGTGTTTGTGTTTATGAATATCATTTTGAGTTCAAGTGTGGGGGGGAGATGCAACCTGATTCATTAGGCTTAGAAACAAAAATTCAAAATTCCTTTTCCTTTGTTATGTTAGTTTTTGTTGTTTCTTTGTTTTCCTTTGTTTCCTTTGCTATGTAGTTTGGTATTTTCAAAAAAAAATTGACCCTTTTCCACACTTTTACATGCTGTACAGATTTGCTTTAATTCTTTCTACTATGTGTTTTGCATGCATTAGGGATAATGTATAGTTTAAGTGTAGGGGAAAGGGTTGTTTTTGAAAAAAAAAACTTTTGTTTTGTGAGCAATATTGAGTTTTGAAGATGATCTTAGTTTTTGCATTTGAAGTTTGAACTTTTGAGATGTTGTTTTCTTTAGCTTAAATCTATTTTGAAGCAAGAAACTATTTGGTTGAGTGTAATTGATTAAGAGAGGCAAGAATAAACCATATGAAAGGGGCCTTCAACCATTGAGAGTTCTATGTTCCTTGTTTTTGTTAATCCTCTAGAACTTGTTTTCTCTCTTACTTGAGGCTACACTTGTGCATTGGTTGTAGGGAAAGTGATTATGGCCATCATTAAAGTGCCCAAGGCCTTTTAGCTAAACCTTGATTACTTGATTATCCCTTGCTTAGCCAAATAAAGCCTTTCTTTATTTTTGTCATTTTTAAACACTTGACCTATTTCAGATAGATTGCATGTATCTTCATTTGGTATGTTTCAATGTGCATTAACTACTTTTTATTAAATTTAGTAGATAACATCTATTGGGATCTATTTCATTCATTCACATTGGCCATACCATTCCATTCTTATGATTAGGAACCTTTCTTGAGTTGTATCCAAGTATTGGAAGCTATGCCTTGAAAAAAAAAATTGAAATTGAGAAGAAACAGCAAGAGAAAAACAAAACAAAGAAAGAAGTGATATAAAAGAAAGAAGAAAAAGATTGTAGAAAGAGAAAAAAAAATATTTGAGAAAAAGTGATCTAAAGTGGATTAAAGATAAGCAAAAGAAAGAGTTTGAATAAGCAAGCTCCTTTTGGTTTGTTATTTAATTCACTTGTTCCTACTTATGGATTCACACATCATGTCTATTATCCCTATCTACTTCATTCTTGGCCATTTATTCATTCCATCTATGATCCCTATTATGTTATCTATTTGGTTTAGTTTTGAGTAGTCTTGTATATTGAACATATTTACATTGTGGCCAAGACAAGTTTTTTGAGCCAGTTTCTACCCCCTTTCACATGTAAATCTAAGCATACTCTTTATTGAGCACATTACATTCCTTTGAAAGTCCATATAATTCTTGAGAACCTTTATATGCTAGTAATGGAGAGATAGAGGGATTACAAGCCTATGGTAGGATGACTTGCTAAGGAACTTGAGTGATATTTGTACCCTTATACACCAAATGCTTGAGTGAAACACTAATCCAGTGAGGTTTCTCTTTGTGATTACATTCTTGCAAATGGTTTACTTGTGATGTATTAAGTTTTCTCTAAAGATTGCAACATTGATTTAGTTCTTGTGATAGTGTATTAACTTTGAAAATTGGATTTACTCTTGAAAGCTTATATCTTTGTGTTGTTTACTTGTCTAGGTTTTTAAAGAGTTTTTGCCCGAAGAGCAAAATCCAAGTGTGGGGGAATTGATCTACTTCATATTTCACATGTTATACACTTGGTTTTTGGCACCAAATAGTGCATATTAGGGTTTATTTTTCAATTTTTAGCTATGTTTCGCACATTTGGTGGTTGTTTTGAGACTTTAAGATGTTTGATTGGATTTTTAGGCTAAATTCTCATTTTCTTCCTTTTTAATTTTCTGTTTAGAATTTATTTAGTCTTGTGTTTTTTATTTTTATATTTTTTGTGAAGGCAATTTTGGAATCAAGGAGCAAAGACTTGGTCAACAATTTTGGAGAAGTTAAGAGCACATGTATAATTTGATTCAAGGAATATATTGGATGACATCATCACGACTTATCATAAGAAATTGGAGCAATTTAGGCGTGAATTGAAGCTAATTCTATGGAATATAATAGCTGACATCATCATGAGGCAAGCCAAAAGCAAAAGAGGCCTGACTTCAACTGAATGCATGAGAATTCACGTGGAAATGAAGCCAGTTGAGAGAGTCACGTTTTTGGGCATCATCAAGTCACATTTCACATGATCATGATCAGCATTTTGTGCGCCAACTTGCCTTGCAATTTCCAGAATTAGTTGCTCAATTTCAATTCCATTTTCTTGCTGGAAATTAACCAATTTCAGATCTGGACTGTTCTTGTTTTTGTCACCATTCACTTTGGTTTTATCACCTTTACATTATTCACACATACATAAGCCTAGTTTTCAAATTAGAGCCTCATAATTCAGATCCCATACACTCTCTCTCTCTCTTCAGCCATATTTTCTCTCAATTTTCATCCATATTCTCTCTCCATTTTTCCAGATCCAATTCTCTCATCTTCTTGATCAGTTTCATGCCATCTTCTTCATCCTCTCAAGTCCAAATCCATTTTCTTCTCCTTCTTCCTTCATTCACATTCAGATCTTCACTATATTCTCCTCTAAATTTTCATCCAGCATACATCCATTCCAGAGTTCATCTTCATCTTGATACATTCATCGAGGCTTCTTAAGTTCTAATTCAAGTAAAGAGAAAGAGCATAAGTGACTGACTACCTTTGAGCTTCAAGGAAGATGAACCTATAATTTGATTATTTCATATTTGCCTTCGTAATTTGTAATTTCAATTTTGTAATTTCTTCTATTTTCTTCAAGGATTCAAAATTCTAGTTCAGGTTGGATTATGATTTTGATTCCAATTACATGTTAGATTGAAGTTACGGATGTTAGATTGAATTTTATATTGTGTTTCAGTTCTAGAATTTATGAATTCAATTTAGTGTTCTTGAATGCATTCATATGTTCTTGATCTTCTTGTTCAAATTTCTTCATATTTCAAGCTAGATCCATATATGTTTATATGAATTGGGTTTGAGAAGTTTTCCTGCCACTTAGTTTAGTTTGAATTGAATGGTTAAGAACAAGGCTGAATTACATTGTTAATTTCACTCCACTTGGCTTAGATTTATAGTTAGCATTGGATGCAATGTTTCACAACACTTTAAAGGTTTTAGAGTGTTTTTCATTCAGCTAATTGTCATTATATATGTGGGTGCAAATCTAGAATTCAAGATTATCATAGGGGATTCTAACTTGAGCTCATCATCTCATTCATTTACATTAACACATTCAAATTAGAAAATTACAAACATCTAATTTTTAGCAATTTAGATAATAGCAAAATCATATCACCACTGTCTTAATTTGTAGGCAATTGAACCATAGATTGTGTGCATTGCTCTTCTGGGAGATGACCTAAAATGCTCATAACTACATTCTAGTTTTATTTGATGGCCTAAAGCGACTTAGGGTTTCATCAATTGGCGTCGTTGCCGGGGGAGCAACTAGCCAAACTAATTGTGGTTTCAATTGCTGTTTTTAATTTGTGTTCATTTCTATTAAATCTGGAATTTGTGACTATGGTGGTTCACACGTGTAATTGAGCACTTGATCTCTTTGTGATCTTGTTTGTTGCTAGATTAGCCATTAAGTTATTAATTATGGACGTAAGTTCTAAATCTATCAAGTAAGCTTAAGTGCTAGCAAGCTGTGAGAATTTGCTCTGCCCAAAAATTTTGCAAGAAATTTGGATAGGTATAATTTTTTGCTGAACTTGGGGAGGATGAAATAGACTGAAATAGACACAAAATGGACACATAAGAGTTATAAAAATAAAACAAAAATGTTGTTCCATTTACACCTTTATTAAGCTAGAAAAACGTCTAGCATTTATGTTTGTAACGTCTTATCTGCTTGCCTGTTTCATTCAAAGTCCTAGCACTATAAATAGGACTAGCTTTGTTGTAAGAGTTAGTTCAAACTTGAAATAAAAATTAGAGTTTTCTCTTTTGTTTGGTTTCTGCGCCGCTATGTCACAATTTGAATTCCCACACGCCTTTACGTGCCTCGAGAATATCTTTGGATAAAAAATTTTGAAAATTTTAAAAAACAAAAAAAAATCCACTCTCAGAGGCACCACATGTGCTGCCTTCTCGTGCTCCAGTGATTACACGCATCAATCCATTATGCTTCCCATGTCGATAAAGCCTCCAATTAGGTGCCACATGCCACGTGTCCAAATATATATATATATATATTTTAAATTCAAATTATTATTAATATTTTCAAGGTGGGTTGGGTTCTAGGTACCTGACCTGTGCACCCATAACCCTTACAAAATATTTTTTTTTATGATTTGGGCTGGTAGCCTAATTGAGAATTTTTTTTAAATGGTCTAGGCTCGCAGCCTAGAATCTAACAAAATTTTTTCCTTTAAAGAGAATGACACATCCAAATGACATGTCATTTTGACGAGGGTCATTTCTACCTTTATTAAGCTTTTGCTAGGTTAGTTTGACTTAGTTCCTCTAGCGGGTCGAGTTTATCGGACCCAAAACTTTCGAAGGCCATATCTCCTCCTTCGGTCTCTGTTTTGTGCATTCTTAGGGTCTTTTTCTTTGTTTTTTCAAGCTCTACACATTTATACAATCCATTTTTCCAAAAAAAAAAACTTAGTTTTCAAACACCCATGATTTTGGTTTGTTTACGTTGTAACTTTTGGCACCATTAAATCGCATGCAAAATGTGTATAGCCTTATATGAAACATTGTTATGTCACCTAAGAAGCATATAAACATGTTCCTTTAGCAAGAATAATGATAAAAATGGACAGAGGCAGATTATGCAAAAAAAGAAGTAAAAATGGAACAGTTA